AATATTGGCCCCCACTCTCTTCTGGCTTGTAGGGTTTCTGCAGAGAGATCCACTGTTAGTCTGATGGGCTTCCCTTTGTGGGTAACCTGGCCTTTCTCTCTGGCTGCACTTAACATTTTTTCCTTCATCTCAACCTTGGTGAATGTGATGATTATGTGTCTTGAGGTTGCTCTTCTAGAGGAGTGTCTTTGTGGTGTTCTCTGTACTTCCTGAATTTGAATGTTGGCCTGCCTTGCTAGGTTGGGGAAGTTCTCCTGGATAATATCCTGAAGAGTGTTTTCTAACTTGATTCCATTCTCTCCGTCACTTTCAGGTACACCAATCAAACACAGATTTGGTCTTTTCATATAGTCTCATGTTTCTTGGAGGCTTTGTTTGTTTCTTTTCACCCTTTTTTCTCTAATCTTGTCTTCTCACTTTATTTCATTAATTTGATCTTCAATCACTGATATCCTTTCTTCTACTTGATGGAATTGGCTGTTGAAGCTTGTGTATGCTTCGTGAAGGTCTCGTACTGAGGTTTTCAGCTCCATCAGGTCATTTAAGCTCTTCTCTACACTGGTTATTCTAGTTAGCCATTCGTCTAAACTTTTTTCAAGGTTTAGTTTCCTTGCAATGGGTTATAACATGCTCCTTTAGCTCAGAGAAGTTTGTTATTACCAACCTTCTGATGCCTCTCTCTGTCAACTTGTCAAACTTATTCTCCATCCAGTTTTGTTCCCTTGCTGGCGAGTAGTTGTGGTCCTTTGGAGGAGAAGAGGTGTTCTGGTTTTTGGAATTTTCAGCCTTTCTGCTCTGGTTTCTCCCCATTTTTGTGGTTTTATCTATCTTTGGTCTTTGATGTTGGTGACCAATGAATGGGGTTTTGGTGTGGACGTCCTTTTTGTTGATGTTGATGCTATTCCTTTCTGTTTGTTAGCTTTCCTTCTAACAGTCAGGCCCCTCAGCTGCAGGTCTGTTGGAGTTTGCTGGAGGTCCACTCCAGACCCTGTTTGCCTGGGTATCACCAGCAGAGGCTGCAGAACAGCAAATATTTCTGCCTGATCCTTCCTCTGGAAGTTTTGTCCCAGAGGGGCACCCATCTGTATGAGACGTCTGTCGGCCCCCACTGGGAGGTGTCTCCCCATCAGGAATCACAGGGGTCAGGGACCCACGTGAGTAGGCAGTCTGTCTGTTATTGGAGCTCGAACGCCGTGCTGGAAGAACCACTGCTGTCTTCAGAGCTGTCAGGCAGGGAGGTTTAAATCTGCAGATGCTGTCTCCTGCCTTTTGTTCAGCTATGCCCTGCCCCCAGAGGCGGAATATAGAGAGGCAGTAGGCCTTGCTGAGCTGCGGTGGGCTCTGCCCAGTTCGAACTTCCCTGCCGCTTTGTTTACACTGTGAACATAGAACCGTCTACTCAAGCCTCAGCAGTGGCGGATGCCCCTCTCCCCGCCAAGCTCCAGCATCCCAGATTGATCTCAGACTGCTGTGCTAGCAGCGAGCAAGGCTCCATGGGCATGGGACCTGCCTAGTCAGGCTCGGGAGGGAATCTCCTGGTCTGCTGCTTGCCGTGACCCTGGGAAAAGTGCAGTATTTGGGCAGAAGTGTACTGTTCCTCCAGGTACAGTCACTCACAGCTTCCCTTGACTAGGAAAGGGAAATCCTCCAACCCCTTGCACTTCCGGGTGAGGTGATGCCCTGCCCTGCTTTGGCTCACCATCTATGGGCTGCACCCACTGTCCAACCAGTCCCAATGAGATGAACCAGGTACCTCAGCTGGAAATGCAGAAATCACCCGTCTTCTGTATTGATCTCACTGGGAGCTGCAGACTGAAGCTGTTCCTATTCGGCCATCTTGGAAGTGATGTATCTCAAACTTTTAACCAGTTCTTTCCAGAAGAAAAATTTGAAACATTAAGGGAAAACTGTTGGGTAAAAGATCCATCTGCTTTTTGAAACCCTGAATCAGTAATTGAGCTAAACTTGGTGCCTGAAGAAGAGAATGAATTAGTGCAGCTTAGTTCTTCATATACATTAAAGAATGATTATGAGACCTTAAGTTTATCAGCATTTTGGATTAAGGTAAAGGACAACTTTCCATTGTTAAGTCAAAAGAGTGTCCTGCTATTACTACCACTCACAACAACTAGTTAGTGTGAACTAGGGTTTTCTATCTTAACCCAGTTAAAAACAAAGGAAAGAAATGGGCTGAATGGTACAGCAGCTATGCAGGTAGAATTATTTTCCTGTGTTCCAGACTGGAATGAACTTATGAACAGGCAAGCACACCCATCATAATAAATAAAATCTTACCTAAAAAAAGATGTGCAAATGGCTAACAGGTATATGAAAATCTGCTCAACATCACCTATTATAAGGGAAGTGCAAGTTACTTGAATGGGAGAAGCCATTTGCAAAGTGCTCATCCTAAGGGGACTAATAGGTATTCTATACAAGAATAACAATTCAACTATAGAAAACCAAACAATCCCACTAAAAATGGACAATATTTTTCAAAAGAAGACATACAAATGACCAATAGTATATGAAAAATGCTCAACACTAATTATCAGGGATTGTAAATCAAAACCACAATGAGATATTATCTCATCACAGAATGTTTATTATTAAAAAGACAGATACACACACACTCACACAGACACACACACACACCCCCCCAGATGCTGGTGAGGGCGCAGAGAAAAGGGTACTCTTAGACATGGTGGGAATGTAAAATAGTGCAACCATTATGGAAAACAGTATGGATATTTCTCAGAAAAACTAAAACTAGAACTACCACATGATGCAGCAATCCCACTACAGGGTATCTATCCAAAAGAAATGAAATTATTGTTTCAAAGGGATACCTTTGACTCCCAGGTTTATCACAATGCTATTCCCAGTAGCACAGATATGGAATCAACCTAAGTGTTCATCAATGACTGACTGGAAAAGAAAAACGGTGTGTGTGTGTGTGTGTGTGTGTGTGTGTGTGCATGCATATGTACGTGTTTATACGCACTATTTGTTTTCTGGATACACACCTACACCCACACTCATACGTACCCACATCCACACACATACCCATACACATATATACATATACACTATTCAGCCAGTAAAAAGAGTGGAATCCTTTTCCAGCAACATGGATGGAACTGGGTGTCATTATGATAAGTGTCATAAGGGAGGCACAAAAAGATAAATGCCACATGTTCTCACTCAAATGTGGGAGCTAAAAACTGGATCTCATGGACATCAAGAATAGGATAGATATCAGGAACTGGGAAAGGGAGGAGAAGAGAGGTTGTTTATGGATACAAACATGCAGTTAGATTGAAGAAATCATCCTAATGTTTGATAGCAGACTAGGATGACCATATGTAGCAATATTATTAAGTATATTGCAAAGTAACTACAAGAGAAGACTGGAAATGATAACAACACCTAAAAATGATAAACATGCATACATGCATGGTGATGGATATCCCAAATTACCCTGGCTTGATTATTACTCATTCCATACATTGTCACAATGTGTCAATAAAAAAAAACTAAAATGTTGATTTGACACATAATAAAGCTTACTTGTCAGTGAAAAGATTAAACTCCCATAAAAAAATTATCTTCTGCAAACAAGAGAATTTGACTTCTTCCTTTCCAATTTGGATGCCCTTTGTTTGTTTCTCTTGCCTAATTGCTCTGACTGGGACTTTCGATATTACGTTGCATAAACGTGGTAAAAGTGGGCATCCTTGTTTGAGTCAGTGGACTGGGAGAGGCAGACCCACCCTTAGTCTGGGGGGACACCATCGTATCAGCTGCCAGTGCAGCTAGAATAAAGCAGGCAGAAGAAGAGGGAAAGGGCAGACTTGCTGAGTCTTCTGGCCTTCATCTTTCTCCCCTGCTGGATACTTCCTGCCCTCAAACATCCGACTTCAAGCTCTTCAGCTTTTGAACTCTTGGACTTATACCAGTGATTTGCCAGGGGTTCTCAGGCTTTTGGCCACAGACTGAAGGCTGCATGGTCGGCTTCCCTACTTTTGGGGTTTTGGGACTCGCACTGGCTTCTTGGCTCCTCAGCTTGCAGATGGCCTAGTGTGGGACTTCATCCCGTGACTGTGTGAGTCAGTTCTCCTAATAAACTCACTTTCATGTACACATATATCCTATTATTTCAGTTCCTTTAGATAACCCTGACTAATGCAAGATATAAAGTTGAATTGTTAGTCATGTATTTCCGATTCGTTGGCTAATGCTATTTATTCCATAATTTGGTGTTTCCTCTAAAAATGTACAATGCTGAAATTGTTACACATTAGATGTTATACATACTAAAGTCTACTTTTGAATTTCTTTGTTTTGTAAATGCATCTGCTAACAATGTTATGAATATTACAACTTACGATAAAGCTCTGTGTATCTACCCCACTTACCTGACAGTCACATTTTCACTCCCTGATCTTCCTTTTTCTGAACCAAATGTCTACTATTAATTCCTAGATAAATTTGAATTTATTTTTCAAGTTTTTGTAAAAGTATCAGATTTTTCATTGTACTTATCCCACCAATTATTCTATCAAATAATTGAAGAAGAAACATTGTGTTTAATATCATTCAATCTTCCTATCCAGAAATTTGCTAGGGACCTGCAACTATATAGTCTACTATGATTTATTTTAAAGTGTTATGTAATTTTCTTCAAACTTTTTCTATGATTATTTGTAGATAGCTTATATTTATTTAGTACCACAATTGTGAAGTAAATCTACTTATTCACTATATCTTGTTATTTATTTTAATTTCTTTCTTTCTTTCTTTCTTTTTTTTGAGACAGCATCTCGCTCTGTCACCAGGCTGGAGTGCAGTGATCCGATCTTGGCTCATTGCAATTTCTGCCTCCCGGGTTCAAGTGATTCTCCTGCCTCAGTCTCCCAAGTAGCTGGAATTAAAGGCATGTGCCACTACGCCCAGCTAAGTTTTGTATTTTTTTTTTTAGTAGAGACAGGGTTTCACCATGTTGGCCAGGGTGGTCTCGATCTCCTGACCTTGTGATCTGCCCGCCTCAGCCTCCCAAAGTGCTGGGATTACAGGCGTGAGCCACCGAGCCCAGCCCTGTTATTTATTTTCTAGATTTTGCTAGTGTCTAGGAACAGTCCTGATTGTTCCCTTCATTTGGCTCATTGATCAGCAGTCAGCTCCCGGAATTCCTTAAAACTGTGTTACTTCCATGCTGGGACCCTCCTGCTTTGGTTCTCTGGAGTCTTTTCTCCTGGAACAAACACAAAGAAACCAACAAACAAAAAATCACAAAAATGAAAAGACATGGACTAAGCATGTAAGTCCTGCATTCTTTAGGGCATGTTGATTCTTTGTCCATTAGCTTTGGTAAAAACCATATGTCTGTCCCCAAGGGACTGAGTGAACCTTGTGAAGTAAAAGATGAAGCTCCCAGATTAGGATCTGGGAAGGCAGCTTGGATACCTTCTAGTTGTCATCCTTGGACACCTGGTGCAAGCTTGTCCAGCCCATGGCCCACAGGTTGCTTGTGGCCCAGGATGGCTTCGAACGTGGCCCAACACAAATTTGTAAACTTTCTTAAAACATTATGAGATATTTTTGTGATTTTTTTTTAACTCATCAGATATTATTAGTGTTAGCGTATTTTATGTGTGGCCCAAGACAATTCTTATTCCATTGTAGCCCAGGGAAGCCAAAAGATTGGCTATCCCTGCATCTGCAGACTCTCCCACAGATTCTTCAGTGGCCTAGTAGTCAGGCCTGTAAGCACCGGCAGTCTCAGACAGCTTACAGACACCCATTGGCTTGCGGGTTCCCCAGGGATGAAAATCTGGTGTTTGGATCTCTGCATGTTTGTACAATACCTTCAAGAGTGTGCATATCACACTAGGGCAGGGAGGGAAGAGGAGACCTAATTTTGGCTTCTTCACTACGAACCTTTGACAAGCTGGGCAGAGCTGGTCTGTGTGATCTGGAGAGCCTCAGGGGATGTCTGAGGTCACTGTGGGAAGGCATGAGGCTGTACCCAGACCTAAGGCACTGATTACATGGGAAAATCCTCAGTCTACGCCTTTTGGGAGGACAGTGGCCCTAAATGGTATCTTGCCTTCCTCAGCACAGACCTATAGCACCCAGATCCTCTGAGGGGCAACTGGGCTGTTTACTCACTCATTTTTCTCATCCTGGATGGTGTCAGACAGAGGCTTGTTCCTGGTTTCAGGAAGGAGGAGGAAAGCAAAGCCGGAGATGAAGGGGAAGACTCCATAGATGATCCAGGGCAGGGGTGGAGAATATACACTTACGATGATCATGAGGGGAGCCAGGGCTCCTGCAATATTAGCAAAGGTTGCATTGATTCCCATAGCTCTTGCCCTTTGAGTGGAAACAGCAATACAAGAATATCTGTTAAAAATCCACACAGGCAATTTGTGATTTATCATTTTGCTCTCATTATGGGGAAACATTTAGACACACAGAGGTGACGAAATACTCCTGTGTTTGAAATTTTCACTTTTATTTGCTGGCAATTAATTTTTCAGGTCACAAGTGCATTAGATGCATTTTCATCATCTAGGAAATACTGCTATCCTTTAGCACCAACCTCTTAGGTGACTCAGAAGGTTATGTGGGATGCTATAATACATCAAAGGACTTAACACAGTGGCGAAAAGTCAGCTTGAGATAAAGTTGGTCTATAATTATTTGTGTTTATGACTGTTACAATTTATTTTCTTAACTAACCAGTCTTAGATTTCTTCCCGCAAAAAGTGTCAATTATCTGAGAAAGGTCCATTTTGAGCCTAACAGAGCATACATAAGGTTTCGTACCTGATTACGGTGGGAATTACTTCATTTCCATGGGCAAAAGCAAGGGTATTGGCAAGGGAAGACGCTCCTAAGCCCAGCGTTGCCAAAACCTCACGCAGCGTCTGCATTTCTGGAGAAAGGAAGAACACAAGGCCTTAGGAAATTTCAGCTGAAGGAATCAGCATCCCCCAGGCTAGAAGTGAAAAGGACTGTATTGGAGGTGTTCGCAAGGTTAAAACGTACTGTCAGGAAACTGCACAGGGGCAAAGAATGTGCAGTGGCTGATAGCTGAGAAACGTGATTTATCTTCACCTTGTGGCTTAAACAGCGAATAAAAAGGATCTGAGCTATTACTTCACTTCTCACTATGTATCAGAGATACGCCATAGCAAGAGAGAGGCATGTAAGTTGAGCTGAATGCTTTTTCATTTATTCCGTCCAGGGACTCCTCTGCCTAGCTGGTAGAACTGTCACGTGTGCAGTACTTGGGAGTGTAAGACCCATCCGTGTTCTCCTGGCCTTTAAAACCTAGGTACATACACAGTATTGACATGGGGCTAGGCTTGCAGAAGAGAGTCATAAAAGATCAGGGGTTCTATGTTAGGAGAGAAGCTAGAGAGTATCAGTGTTTTAAGGATCAGGAATAAGGACCTCGAAAAGAGGAAGAAAGTCAGACTTTAGAAAGCATTGAAGGGAAGTTTCAGAGCCTTGTTTCTATCCGGCTGAAGAAATCCCGTAATAGCCTCATGACACTGGAGGGTTCTGTTGCTTTGTAGCACACTCGGATCATTGCTGGCATTCAAGAAGGGGAGTGGAGCACACCAATCTGGGATCCTGTTACATACATTACTACACTAAGAGTTAGGTGAAGACTGGTGGCCACCTGGGTTCCCTTACTTATTACATATGATCAGTTAATTTCTTAAAATAGAATCTACAAGAGGCTATTAACTGACAATTTCTTCATTTCTACTGTACAGTTCTTTACATAAAGATGGGGCACTTTTGTTCCCTTGAAGTCAAGATGACTCCCCTAAACCAGGATTGTAGTTAAGGTGACCTAATACAAGGCCCACAGGTAGATACATGGGAATTGGGATACTTTGTCACTGAAGCTGTAGTAATAAGAAAGAGCCCGGACAGAGGAAGTAGTAGTATTATGTCCTCATGTTGGGAAACAATGACAAGGCCTATACCTCAATACTCATTTAAATAAGTTTGATCGGCCAAAGAGTAAGTAAGTGATTGCTGTTGTAGAGAAACCGTCAGAAATAAATGGCTTCAGTTTCTTAGTATTTCTTGAATATGATGAGGACAACCATATAATAGAGCCAACCTTTACTCATCTGTGACTCGTTTTCCAGCAACTTGTGGCAGAATCTGTCCCAAATCCCCAGATTATTGTCAGGAAATCCTGAGAACCCAAATCTCCCTTTCCTTCTGGCTTCAGATAGGTGTGACCAGTACAATCCCTGAGAAGAGAGGGAAAGGCATTTTCTTTCTTCCACCTGTGATCTTTTCTCACCTTGTGGCACAAGTATGATGGCCAGAAGGCAGATTGCCAGGAGGAACATGAGAAGCATCTGGCTTGCTCGACGGTTCATGTATTTCAGTGCCCAAGGTGCAACGCAATTGGCCAAGAGGATGACTGCACCAAAGAGCGTCTGCAACAGGGAAACATTATTCCCCAGATGCTGGACGTTGAGATTAAGGCCAAAATAGGCCATGAAGTTTGCAAATCTGTGGTGATTAAAAAGGAAAGGCACATATTATAATCCGTGCAGCCTACATCCTACAAATGAGAATAATATTGGCCCAGGCAGCTAGGGATTGTTAAAGTATAAAGGCTGGGTCTATTGCGTGGAATATTTTCTTGCAATGTGATTTTTAAAAATCTATTAAGTGACAATGATAACATTATGGAACTCTTTGTGAAGAAGTTATTAATACTAGACAAGAGGCTGGAAGTTAGACGCTTAAATATGTTCAGAAAGGGTTACAGACTGCGTCTTATGAAGCATGATAATTTCTGAGGAGTTGTCAAAGGTAGCTTCTATTTGATAAAAATGAGACAAAAGTCTTATACTACCTACAAAGATGATGACTAAAGGTGTGGGAAAAGAAGAGAGTTCCATTTGAAAATGCTGCCACCTTCCTCCGCAAAAGCACACCACGTCTCAAACTCATATTTCAACTACCAAGTTCTGTCTCTCAAAGCTAAAATAAGTGTCAAAGAGAACTGAAGATACCACAATATGTTGAGTTTTAAATTACCATAAAATGATGGTAAGATGATGATGGTCATAATTGTCATTAATTTTTTGGAAGACAGCAAGTGTTTTATGGATGATTAAACTATAGGGCCTGGGATTTATTTATTTATTTATTATAACTAATTGCTTTTATTAGTATTCTAAAGCCAATTTGCTCACATGACAACAAAAACCACTGCAAGACAATTCACTATCCTGAGGGCCATAAAATTAAAAGTAAAAATTTACAGATATTAGTCAAACTCCCAGTGAGTACCTCAGGAGCTGAAATGTCCATTTACCTCCATTACAATCAGAAATGTCACTAAAATGTACAACTTATTGAGTGACAGATTGTATATCCACAGCATTCACTGTGTAGGTGGTCCTGTGTAGTAAATCCAGAATGGAACAAGGAAACCTATTTTTATATTACTTATGTTTAATGGCATATAACCTCGTGATGGTTTTATTAGCATAGAAAGGAGTCAATAATTTTTATTATGTATTCAGTATACATATGTATCTTATCGGAGGGAATTCTTATGATTTTATGTTGTCTCATCATTCATTTTGATTACAAGTTTAACTTTCTCACACCACAGCAGGGCTTAGTCACCCTTGACACAGTTTCTAGTCCTTACACCACTTCCAAATGGCTCAAGCCAGACGCCAGAGATAACTTAGAGGCATCTCTCCTGGCTAGCTGACTGGGTTCCCTGCTTTCCTGTTGCTTCCTTTGAATGAACTATTCAGGCATTTGCCTGCAAACTTTAAGTGACCCACACCTGATTTCCTTCCATAAACTGCTAGTTGCCATGTATTCCTTTTATTATTACTATTATTGTTATTATTTCAATAGCTTTTGGGGAACAGGTGGTGTTTGGTTACACGGATAAGTTCTTTAGTGGTGATTTCTGAGATTTTGGTCTCTCTGCCAGTTTCTTCATTTCCACCTCATCTGACCCGGGGACAGAACACTGCCCTCCCAATTCATTATTCTCTCCTTTCCCAGGATCTGCAATTACACGGCTTTGAATTTGTTTCCTCTTGCGGTGGTGTACTGAATTTACGCTTTCTGTCTGAAAAATTAGGGGCTGTTTCAGGCTGGGTTTTCCCTAGGACTGCAGTGAGAACACAGTGTCAGGCAACCAGAGCCAGAGCAGTGGTCAGGCAGACATAAACTGGACATGGGTCAGATAAGAGCCCCAAGGGCATCTGCCAGTATAAACAAGTTTCCTGTGTGAAGGTTCCCCTGGTCACGGGTCTAACAACTAGGCATCAGGCCATCCACTGAAGGAAAAGTGTTGTGTGAACACTGTAAACCCCTACATCCAGCTCCCATTCCTTTCCTTTTTAGGGCAGGGTTTTTAACCACTCTGGTACTGAAATCTGAATTTAGCTGGGGGCTCTCAAAACACTTATTTATTTTTAAAATATTGTGATAAAAATACGTAACATGAGATTTACCTACTTAACACATTTTTAGGTATAGTCCAGTATTAACTGTAAGCATAATGTTGAACAGCAGATTTCCGAGACATTTGCATCTTGCATAACTGATACTTTATGCCCTTAAATGACAACTCCCTATTCCCCTCTGCCCCCGTCCGAGAAAACCACCATTCTACTTTCTGCTTCTATGCGTTAACTTTTTTAGATATCTCATATAAGTGAAATCAGTGTTTGTTCTTCTGTGCTAGCCCAAGGTTCATAGCCGTTGGGTATGACCTTTTTCTTTCTTTTTGAGGCTAATATTCCATTATATGTATATAACATAGTTTGCTTATTCATTCACATGTAAATAATAGTTAAGTTGCTTCCATATTTTGGCAATTGTGAATAATGCTGCAATGAACATATGGGAGTGCAAATATCTCTTCCAAATACTGATTTCAATTCTTTTTTTGAAGAATTGAGATCCCATAAGTGAGAATACCGAATCATATGGTAGTTCTAACCTCCATAGTGTCATGGTGGGCGTAGCATTTTATATGGCCACGAACAGTATACAAGGGTTCCAATTTCCCCACATCCTTTGAACACTTCTTATTTCTTGTTTATTTATTTATTTTTGATAATGATAATCCTAATAGGTATAAGATACTATTTCATTTTTTATGTGTTTAATCCTCCATAAAACACTTCATATTTTATATCCTTTTCTTATCTTTTTATCTCTTTCTCTTCCCTAATTGCTCTTGTTAGGATTTCAAGTACCATACTGAATAGAAGTGGTGAGAGTAGAATCCTTATCTTGTTCTTGATCTTAAAGGAAGAGTTTTCAGTTTTTTATTGTTGAGTATAATATTAGTACTAGACTTTTCATATTAGTCATTTATCAGTGAGCTTTATACGTTCCTATGTTCTCATGCTGCTCTTTAGTCCCATTTTTTAAAGTTCAAGGTTTCCCTTTGGAAATAATAATGGAGGTAGGGTGCTGACAGACTCACTCAACTTTTGTTTGTGTGGGAAAGTATTTCTTTTCGTTATTGAGGGATGGTGTGCAACATACATTAATTTTTGTTAGCATTTTATTTTTTCATCTCTCTGGACATATCATCCCACTCTCTGTTGGCCTACAAGGTTTCTGCAGAAACCTGCCATCCCCCAATTGTCTAATGGAGGACGTTCTCTTAGTATGCAACAAGTTACTTTATCTTGCTGCTTTCAAAATTCTCTATTTTCTTTGATAATGTAATTAGAAAATGTATTAATATGGAATTCTTTTTTACTTTTATATATTTATTTGGTTTATAGTCTTCTGACTATATTAATTTCACTTAATAGTCTGAAATTCTTAGAATCTGTCCATTTATCCAATTGTCAATTATAAGTCATTGACTTTTTATAACAATCTTTTGTATTGATGTATTTTGGAAAGTGTTTTTCTTCTCCTTAAATCTTCCTTCAGGGAAGCTGAAACATAGGTTGATGAGCGTGTACATGTGTGAACTTCAAAAAATGGTGAAATGTGAGCAAACATACAAATAGTCTAAAAATGTTAGTGTTTATGGGAATTTTAGTGTACTTAACTTCCAAAATAATTACATATTGAGTGAAGACAGTATAGTTTAAAAGGAAAGTAATATGGTATAATGGCTATAAGTGCAACATTTAATGTCAGATTAGTGTTCAAGTTCTGTATGTACTATTCACTAATTATGTGATCTTTTAAAACATAATTTTACATTTAGTTAAAAAACTTTATTATTATTTTTTTCAACTTTCATTTTAGGTTTGGGGTACACATGTAGGTTTGTTACATGGGTAAATGTCGCAGTGGAGCCCAAATAGCCAAATCAATCCTAAGCAAAAGGAACAGAATGAGAGGCATCACACTACCTGATTTCAAACTACACAACAAGGCTACAGTATTGAAAACAGCATGATACTGGCACAAGAGCAGATACATAGACCAATGCAACACATTAATTAGATAACCCAGAAATAAAGCCACATACCTACAACTGCCTGATCTTCAACAAAGCTGAAAAAAGTAAGCAATGGGGAAAGACTCTCTATTCAATAAACGGTGCTTGGATAACTGGCTAGTCATAGGCAAAATTTTGAAACTAGACCCCTTCCTTTGACCATATACAAAATTCAACTCAAGATGGATTAAAGACTTAAATGTAAGATGTAAAAGTGTTAAAAACACAGAATAAAAGAGGAAATACCACGCTGGACATCAGTCCTGGCAAAGATTTTTTGATAAAGACTCCAAAAGCAATTGCAACAAAACCAAAAATTGAAAAGTGGGAACTAATTAAACCAAGGAGCGTCTGAACAGCAAAGGAAGCTAACACCAGAGTAAACAGACAACCTACAGAATGGGAAGAAATATTTGCAGGTTATGCATTTGACAAAGGTCTAATGTTTGGAATCTATAAGGGACTCAAATAAAGCAACAATCAAAAAACATACAAACAAATGACAAAAACATACAAACAAACCCATTAAAAATGGGCAAAGGACATGAACTGACAGTTCTCCAGAGAAGACATACACATGGCCAACAAGCATATAAAAAAACTTATAATAGCATTAATCATTTGAGAAATACAAATCAAAACAATAATGAGATAGCGTCTCACACCAGTCAGAATGGCTGTTATTAAAAAGTCAAAAATTAACATGCTGTTGATGTTGTGGAGAAAAGGGAACAGTAATAAACTGCTGGTGGGAATGCAAATTAGCTCAGCCACCCCAGCTTTGTTCTTTTTGCTTAGGATTTCTTTGGCTTTATGGGTCTTTTTTGATTTTGTGTAAATTTTAGGACTAAAAAAAATTCTGTGAAGAATGTCGTTGGTATTTTGATAGAGATTGCATTGAATCTGTAGATTGCTTTGGGTAATAGGGACATTTTAACAATATTGATTCTTCTAATCCATGCACACAGGATGTCTATTTTTTGTATCAGCTTCAATTTGTTTCATCAATGTTTTATTGTTTTCATTGTAGAAATCTTTCATTTCTTTGGTGTAG